GGAAAGAGAGAGATATTGCAGGAGAGAGAGAGAGAGATTTTGCAGAGAGAGTCGGGAGAAAATGAAGAAGAAGAAGAAGCGTATATTAGGTCACAGTTATTTGCGACGACACATTCGTCGCAAATAAATTTAAAATGTCGTCGCAAATAAAAAATTATTTGCGACGACATTGTCGTCGCAATTAATAAAACATCGTCGCAAATAACCTTTTTTTCCCGCGCGTACTTTCTCGTCAACTGGATTATTTGCGACGACATTGAAACAATGTCGTCGCAAATAATCTAAAACTATTTGTGACGACGTGTCGTCGCAAATAATCTAAAACTATTTGCGATGACATGTCGTCGCAAATATTCACTGCTTGTCATCGGAAAAAAAATAGATTACCTTTGCGCCAAAAATCCGCGCCATCAAAATTTACGCGCCAATATTATTTGCGACGACATTGAAGTTATTAGCGACGACATGTGCATTTTATTTAACGGGAGGTAGTTGCGACGACATGTCATCGCAAATAGTGTATTATTTGCGACGACATATGTCGTCGCAAAAAAAGTCGTCGCAAATGGGCATAATTGTTGTAGTGCTTACACAAATCACTTATTTATAGACTCCTAATAACCCTTGCTAAAAAAAAGTACTTACTCAAAAAACACAAAATTATTACTTTCTTAAAATTAATTCGAGTCACTTACCCAACAATTATACCAAACAATTGTCTTCAGTTTTTAGTTATTTATTATTATATAACGATGAAACGGTTTTATAACTTTTGTTTTTTTCCCCTAATGAATCAATGGTATTACTATTCATAGAGACGCTATTCCTTTGTGTTTGTCTACAGACTATAATTGTTTCCACTCGTACGATTCGTCAATTCTGATGTTTAATTCGCATATTATTTTTTAGGGTTTTGAACAAAATTGTCCCTCAAACTTATCGTGATTTAACAAATTATCCCTCTAAATTTATAATTTTGACAATCAACTCATGAATGTATAAAATTTTTACAATGTACCCCATTGTACTAAATTTGCTCAAATATATGTTTATATTTAGGGGATTAAATTTTGAGAAAGTGAAAGATTTATTTTATATTTGAAATGTGATGTTAAAATTTTTCGTCGAACGTGCTTTTCTGACACTAATCTAACACAATTATCGTCAAAATGGGACAAATTACAACAATAAAATTGAAGGGGCAACTTTTTAAAAGTGAAAATTTAGGGAGCAAGTTGCTAAAGCCATACAAATTCAGGGCGCAAATGTGTTAAATACCCTTTTTTTTATTCATGATATTATTTCGGAAGAAATATTATGTTGAGGTACTTAAAAAAATTAATCACCAATTTCTACCCAAAAAATGGAACTTTGTTGCTTTTTTCCCTAATATTTTAGTTTATAAAACATGTCTTTATAAGTGGTTTTAAATCTTGAATCCGTCACTGCTTTGGATTAGTTACTAGCATGGAAATTACGTCTTGAACATTAATTAACATAAGTTTCGCGTCATCATCACCAAGGTGGTAGCCTAGGTATTGCGCATATAGTTCTAAGTGATTTGGCATGAAAATCTAGCTAAACTTATCTACTTATCAATGTAAAACCACTAGCTTGGGACTGGAATTCATAAATATCCATTCCTTGTAGTGCAGTGGAGGTCCCCGCCTCATATAGCAATCAACATGCAATTTTATTCCGAACGATAACTGCTTATGCAAAATGCCTTGCGACCTTTGTGAATGCAACTCTATCATCTAATTGATTAGTTATTATGCCTGCGATGAGTCTCCCTCATTTACGGTCTAAGTTTGAATCCTCACGTCTTCACAAAAAGAGTTCCAGTGACAATGCTCATCTATGAGTGGGTATAAGAGATTAGTGGTCGATGAGTGAAACCAGGATTGTAAACGAGTGAAAAATAGATTTAGACCGTTAATCATGTACTAATAGGACTATTTAATTCCTACAACAGTCGTTAAGTGGGGCATGAGGATACCAACGATTTACTTTTAAAAAAAAAAAAAAAAATAGTAGCTAGAAAGGGCATGGATTGGAGGGCCCCACAAATCCCAAATGGTTTCCATGTCATGGCTGGTGTGGGTCAAGTTCAACAAATTAATTCCTTGTTAGTTTTTTTTTTTTTTTTTTTTTTTTTCCCTAGCTAGATGTCTAGTTCTGTCACCTCAAGCCTGCCAAAGATTTCAAGTCAGATTAGCTGAATTATTCACCAAAAGGAACATATATTTTTTATTGGTGATGAAGAAGTCAATTGGAATGAGAAGGCATGCTTGAATTACAAGTTTATAGCCAAAAAAGAAAAAGAAAATAAAAAACTGATATTATTACGATACTTTTGCTTCAAGTTTATGTGCTTTTCCTTTTCTGCTATTCTTTAATTTACACCAGAAAGTGATTTCTCCACTTTATTTTGTGTGATGTTATTCTTTTTAATTCATAGAAAATTAATGAGAATTCTTTTACAATAGAGTATGAAAAAAATACCAGCATATAGTGTTTTCAATAATTATATCTAACGTTCAGAAATACGAATTTTAGAAAGATTAAAAAAAAAATGGGATTACCTTTTCTCTTATTAAATTCTTGCACAGATTTTTGTACTTTGAGCATGGTTCATGCATGGGGTGCTTCCTTTGGAATTTCCAAATGCAAAAAGATCACAGCCCATGTGTTGATAGCCATAGTGGGAAATTCAGCAGACGCCAAACATAGGATTTTCTCAGTGTATAAGCACCTAACTTCTTCTAATTCCAAATCAAGCAATTCAACTTCAATATTGAGTTTGAAAATTCTCTCTCTCTCTCTCCTGTTAGGCAAGTGTAGAGAGTGATTTCTACAATTGACATGACTGAATTCGGACCAAACAGAGAATTAATATCACGTAGCAGATAATTAAAGTGAGAGAAATTAAATTAGAGACAGAGACACAAGAGATTTATAGTAATTCCCCGATAAATCTAAATACGTCCATTGTAGGGTTTTAGGTGATGATTCTAATACAATATGATTGAGAAAAAAGCAGGAAGAGAGAATAGGAAAATGGTGGAAAATAGCAATAATTTGGGTAAAACTAAGCCTAATCTCCGTAGAAAGCGCTCTGTATGCCTTGGAATACGCGAATGACACTGTAGGAGGCTAGGGCTTGTGGGCGTCAGGCTCTGGGCGTGAATATGCATGAATGAGGGATCAGATTGGCGTGAATTAATCCCCTTTTTATAGGCTTACAGGAGAAAATAAACTTGAAGTTTGAATATTTAAATTAAGATTAAGATAATCACTTTTTTAAAAGAGATATCTGCGTTTAAATGCTTACAATGGTCAAATAGGAGCAGGAAAGTATAAATAATTGAGACAGTTTTGGAGAAACCTTTTCTCATCTTATACAAGCTTATCCGTAATTTGCTTTTGACGTGAGCAAAGGTAACAACTGCAATGTTGTACAATCACTACAGTGAAATATTGCGGACAAATAGGTCATCCTTGTCTATATAGAAAATATTAGGATAACTTAATTTGAATACTTCGCTTGGTTAGCGACAAAATTCACTCTATAATACAGTTTGAATGATGACTTTTTTCCCCTAAAACAACGGCTATATAAGATTGAGACGGGTATATTTAGATAATATTCTTGTCAGAGAGGTAGTACATCCTCACGTAGTATATGAATTTCTTATAAATCAAATGGTTTGTATACTTTGTCCACCATAGTAAGATTAACTCGAATTCAAGATCTTATTGAGAAGAATGAACAACCTTTACCACTCCACTAATTGACCACCACCTTTTTTTTTCTAACTTAATTATAGTTAAGGAATTAAACAAGGGAAACAATGTTACATGACTAGTAGACTTTGAAAGGTCAGAAGGCAGTTTCTCCACAATATTCCGAAACAGGCAAGTCTGTGCAGAGCTAACCGATTATTGACATTCCCAACAGATATCCATTCTCATTCAAAATGAATTCTGGCAGAAATTCAAATTAGTTGGTAAAGTTAATTATCACGTTGAAATTTGGCTCTTTGATTCCCTATAAATTGCAATATCCCGCTAGCTTTCATCATACCAACCCGCCCTCAAGATTTTCTCATTACCATTTTGCTTCATTAGTTGTCTCATAATGGCACCTAATTTTCTTTGGTCTCTCTCTCTCCTTTTTGCAATATTCCTGCTTCAAATGGAATCTCATGTCAAAGCTTCTGCATGTAGTGACTGTTTCATTCAATCTCGAGCGGCTTACTATCCGAATTCTGACGAGCAAGGAACAGATCGTAAGAGAGTTCAATAAGAATAAAAGATGAGAGCATTTATTGATTTTGTTTACACCACTAAATTAAACATACATGCTAACCAATATTCTTTTTCATATGAACTGCAGACGGTAGATGCGGGTATGGCTCGTTTGGAGCAACAATCAACGGTGGAGACGTCTCGGCTGCATCTGATCTCTATCGCGATGGCGTCGGCTGCGGCGCTTGCTACCAGGTGAGTTTGGTTCAAAATATCAAAACATGTCTGCCTTAAAACGAATGCAAATGTTAAGGCCAATACAATATTGTGGCTATATACAATATATTTGACATGTCAATAATGCCATTTTAAATATCATGTCTTTTTCTTTTATTTATCTTAAGCTTTGAAACTTGTACAGAGTTTTAAATTTTTAATAATTAAAAAAAATTAAAACTACCTGCTGTATCTATTAGCAAATGTCAAAAATTAACATTTCAGTATAGCATTGCGCTTTAGATTAAATGCATTAATTAAATAACTTGTGAAAATATACATGTTCCTAGACTTGGCCTATCGATTTTTATGTCAATGGAAAATGATGTATATTTGTACTTGGACTTAAAAAAAAAAATCATCTTTTGATCTTGTTTCACTAGGTGAGATGCACCAACAGTGCCTACTGCTCAGACAAAGGAGCAACAATCGTTATAACGGACCACGGCTCGAGTGATCGGACCGACTTTATCCTGAGCAGACGAGCCTTCGGTCGAATGGCTCAAACCTCTGATGCAGCAGCCTCTTTGTTTTCCCTTGGTGCTGTTGATATAGAATACAGACGGTAATTAAGTGCCTCTTAAAAATACTTGAATTACTCTTTTACATCCTGTATATGGAAAGTTTTCTTGAGCTACAAGTAACAATATTATTTTTACCTCAACTCTTTAATTTTTGTCACATAAGCTATATAACTCATCAAGTTCTCTTTCTTTCTTTTAATTTCTGTCTACAAATTACAGTGTTTCATGTAGCTACCCCAGCAAAAACATTACCATCAAAATAGACGAGAGCAGCAGCTTCCCTAATTATTTGGCTTTTGTGATATGGTATCAACAAGGGAAGAGAGATAACATTGCTGTACAACTTTGTGAGGTAATACATGATCTTCCTTACTAATATTAATTACTTGTGCTTTTATCATGTTAACCAAATAAAAGCTTCAATAAGGACCAATCTCACTAGTATCCCTTAAATTTTGAGACCATTTTCAATTTGCCCTTCGAATTTTAAAATTTTCACTTTACCTTCTGAATTTTAAATTAGTCCCACTTAACCCCCCTGATGGAATTTCTATTAAAATCATACTGAAAAAGAGAGAGTTTAGTGTGTTCACATGGGTCTTTTTTCCGTTTATTTATTTATTTTACATTAGTTTTAATAGAAAGACCACACGATTGCACTGCCTCCCTTTTCTCATATGTTTTGAATAAAAATTCCAACATAAAAGGTTAAGTAAGACTCTAATTCAAAATTTATGAGGTAAAATAAGAATTTTAAAAGCACGAGGCCAAAACTGATGATGACCCCAAAGTACGAGGGGAGTCAATTAGAATAATCTTAAAAATAAATACAAAAAGGATATAAGAATTATTCTTTTTTTTTTTTTTTTGCTAAAAGTATAAGAATTATTCTTTGGTAAGGTATGATACGTACCAGCGGAGTACTATCTTGAATTGTCTAAAATTTTTATGAGGTTATATCAGATTTGCACTCGTTTTTGTTTTGATATAATTTTAATTAAATTTAAAAATTAAAAAACACGCACCACCACATGAGAATGTCTTCCAGCTGCATTCATGCCCTTGTCCTGTAGTTAACATCTGGTTATACCAGATTTAGCGACATTATTAATGTAATTATATATAAATTCTCATTGAAGTCACTTTATAATTTGCAGACTCAGAATTTTGTGTGCAAGCTGTTGGATAGGAGCTATGGAGCAGTATGGACAACAAGCTCACCCCCAAGTGGACCTTTGCAAATAAGAATGCTATTCAGTGATGGTGATGATGGAGATGAATCCTGGGTTGCTCCTGTTAATTACATTCCCCAATACTGGAAAGCTGGAGACACATATGACACTGGGCTACAAGTGGACTTTTAAACAATATGATCTTCAGCAATATATATATATATATATATAGTAATTGGGTTCATTTCTTTTTTTAAAAAAATTTATTTATTTTTCCTCATTTGCAAAGGAATATGACTTAATAAGAGTGGCCATTGAAGTCCTGGATGCAATCATTCTATTTTTTTCATCAACAAATTAAAAACAGATGAACTCTTGATTTGTTCTGAATATTCTGAGTGTCAAGTAATCAATAGAAGGAATAAATTCTCTTTTCTTTTCTTTTCTTCTCTTTTTATTTTATTTTATTTTATTATTTTTTGAAACGCTAATAATCCTAAAACTATCAAGAAAAGACTTGATACTCAGAAATTACAGGAAAAACATTAAAATACAAGAGAAAGAGACAATTAACCTGGAATATCATACTGCTTCCACAAACTATGGACTCAAAATTAAAGCCATAATATTCAGAAATTACATTAAAAACATAAAATAAAAAAATCATCCCATTTCCCTGCTGATGCACATATAATTGATAATAACATTATATAAGGTCCAATATTCTTGGTTCCAACTCAATTAGCCGCTTGGTCGCAATCTCACCAAAGTTCTGAATTTGAGTGGTTTCAGATTACAGAATAACACATCTTGCTTGTTGAGGACGGCCACCATAAATCTACCAAAGAGAACAGAAGTAAATTTGTATTCACATATCAGAGACAGACCAAAGATAAGCTTCCCTTTCCGTAGCTCGTTTCTCGTTCATCCTTTTGAATAATTCTTTTTCATATCCTACAAAACACAAGCAAAAGATATTACCAGATATTGTTTGACATATATGTATTTGTATATAGCTGTCACCTCAGCTCTAAGACATTCCCATTACGAGGACCAAAAAGTGAAGCAAAAGCGGCAGAATAAAGGAACTGAACCAACCACTACTACGATCAACGCCGTCCCAGTGTCTTCCTGGTTTTATACCATAGCGATTTGGTGCGGCATCTAATCCTCTTTTTAACCAACTATGATTTGGGATATCCTGAGGAATGATAAATCCAGATTCCTTCATCTTTTCACTATCACCCAAATTAGGCAGCACAGGTTCAGATTGCTTTCTCTGCCATATGTAAAAATGACCACAATCAGTTTACGGGAACCACAACTGACCAAATAAGCTATAGTAAAATATAATACCTTCACTAAATGTGCCATGGGGTCACCCCATCTTACTCTCTCTTTCAGCATTTTGTCGAGTTCGGGATCATCTCTGCAAATGATATACAATACTATGAGAAAGTTTGCTACATCTAGAAGTCAAAAGCATAAGTAAATTTGCTAAATCTAGAAGTCGAAGCACTTTGATGTAGGACTTCCTTAGTGAATTAGGGAATTTGTGTTTTGTTAGGACCTCTATATGGTTGCAACTTATAATTAGTTGGAGTCTCCAATCTTATTTGCTGTTCTACAAAGACTAAAAAATACATTAATATGAATCCTAGTAAAACATAAAACCTCTAATCCTATATGCTGTCCTACATCAAACTTTTTGTGCATTTTAATGAACATAAAGACCAAGCCAGACTAGTGAAACATTCAAGGTACAAGCTGAAAAGAAAATTAAAATGAATAAATTAACAAAGAAATCCAAAGATGTGAATTATCAAGCATTTCCATAATAAATTATTGCAGCCAAATTGCAGGCAACTGTCTCAACGAAAGTGTATAACATACTGCATGGAAGACAACATTTCAAACTTCGTTTCTGACCAGAAAGCAAAAGGAAAATGGAAAAGTAAAAAATATCTTCCAACGCAAAATGAACTCGATAATTAAGCAGAATAAATGCATGCAGACCTTTGACAAACTAAACTTTCATTTCTAGTGAACCTCAAGACATAAAAAATTGTCATTTCTAACAAACGTGACTTTGAAATAAGCATGAAAAACCATAAACTAAATGCTCTACAATATGACGTAATAAGTAAGAATTAAAGTTTTCCCTGCTTTAATTGGAAAATAATAGGGAACTTCACCATAAAGCTTTTTTTTTTTTTTCTCTTTTTCAAAACAAGAAACGATTATGTTGGTGATCAAAATAAATACTTCCTCGAAAAAACCAGAAAACAAAATCAGAGAAGAGCTACATAAGGGAGCCCAACCCCTAACTAAGACTGAGAACAACGGACTGCCAAACTCACGGGAAATAAATTAAAGACTATGATCTATAATATAATCATTATATAAATTAAATCTACCTGCTCTGTGCAAACGGTTTGTCCTTCTCAAGTTCTAGTTCTTGCAGCCTAGCCTCAGCTTCCCGCTTCTGAGCCAAACCTTTGCCCCATTCCAATTTAATCTCCTGAAAGATGCAGGATAATAACCATCAAGGCCGAATAAATTCTCGAGGGGACAAAAACATTATTTCATAAAAGTAAAGCTTTAAATCATAGCAAACAAAAGGTCAAACTGCCATAACTTTAAACCAAGAAACAGTTCCATTGACACAGTACTTTCGTAATGTACTCTACATTAAATACATTAAATTAATTGCTCACTCAACCCAATGCCTTCAGTCATGAAGCATTTTCGTCCTAAAAGCAGAAAGGAGAAAAATACCATATCATCAAAAACCTAACAAGCTACAATATTCATCACAAACACATTTTTGGCCTCATTTACTTGCCAAGGACAATTTCAAGCAAGAGATTTATTGTCATACGGTTGTAAGATCATCACGCAGCATCACTTCAGTTCTACCACTTCTATATTAAGTGAAAAAGAAACGGAAGAATAACATTTGAAGAAATCTAGATGTTTGTGAAATAACCTCAGTTATGTTTCAAATGTAACATAAGACAAACATATAAAAAGTCGTACTTGTACAAACTACAACGATGAAAAACAAAAGAAAAAAGATGATACAAGAAAGGTTTTAGCCCAGCATGTAAAGGTAGCAAAGTCAAAAGAACAGGCCAAATTGATGAGAAAAACAAAAACTACAATGAAATACGATAATGGATATTAGGATGTACCTTGGGCTTTTCTTCTACTTTTCGTTGTGATTTCAAAAATTCCTCCTTTGTTATTCGTTCCCCTACAACATGATAAGCGAGACTTGGATAAAACATACATGCGCGAGCAAATTAAATAGGAGGAAAAGAAAATTTTCCTGACCTCTTATCTTATCCCGATATACAGGTTCCGCACCCCGACCGCTTATAGAAGGGTCCATATCTTGGAACCTACAGAAGTAAACATGTGTCAGGACAAGAACATAAGCTCTTATCTACCAAAAAAGTATCGTCGCAAACATCTTAAGAGCTAGGAGTCTGATAGGATCCTATCTAGAAACAGAGAAATTGAACTTAAAAGACTGAATCTTTATTGAAGAAGATGAATTCATTTCAGTACAATGAGCAAACCCTAACAATGGTGGGCAACTAAAACTCTTATATATACTACTAATCCTTCTAAGAAACTCTAACTAACTACTAAGTGCTAACCAAATTCTAAACTACTACTTCCCTTAACCAGCAAGTCCTATCAGAGTCATTTCCAACTTGTGTTCCAACCTTATTCGAGAAATGATGTGAGATTATTTGGAATACTAACCATTGTTAACATGCTTGAGAGGGGAAAAAATGAGAATATGGGAACACACTTTATCATTGACTACTAACTTGTCGTAGTTCAAAATCAATAAACTTAAGAGATACAGAACTTTCTTCGGAGGAGTGGATGAAAGTCCACAAAACAGGCAAATGTTTACCTCAACAAATCTTGCTTCTTAGTTCTAACAATTTCTTCCCTGATGTCTGGACCTGAAATCAGACCAGTTTTTCGCTGTTCTCTTGTATCTGAAACAGACACTTCCTTCTTATTTTTCCTTGGTGGAGAAAGATCTGAAACAAAAATGCACATAAGCAATAGGTTCCAGTTGAATTTCTATGTGATTGTTGGAATGAAAAAGAAATTACTTAAATCCCTTACCATCATTTCTATTTTTCCTTGGAGGTGAATGGTCAGAACCAAGTGAGCCACGCAAGTTGGCTTGATGTGGAGAATCACGGCGACCCCCGCGAGGAGGAGAAATATCATTGCAAGCCACAGAAGGGCGCTCGGATTTCATTTCAGGTTCCGGTGACGGAGTATGGTGGCGCTTCTGTCGTTGCCGAGGCGGTGACAAATCGACGTCTTCGTTAACAGGTCTGCTATAATGTTCAGGTGAAGGTGTGTCGTTTTGGGCCCTTCCACGCCGAGGAGGTGACAAATCCAGATTTTCCTTTATAGGTTTTCTATCAGGTGAAGGTGAAGGTGAAGGTGTGTCATATCGGGCCCTGCCACGCCGAGGAGGTAATAAATCCAAATTTTCCTTGACAGGTTTTCCATCATGTTCAGGTGAAGGAGTGCCATTACGAGCCCTTCCACGCCTAGGGGGCGAGAAATCCATATCCTCCTTTCTAGGTTTTTCACCATGTTCTGATGACTGCGTGTCAATTTGGGCCCTTTGCTTACGAGCTAAAGAAAAGTCGATATCCATTTCAGGGGATGGTGTGTGATGCCGCCTGCCCCTCTGCCATGGTGGCGACAAATCACTACCTTCTCCAGAAGCTGAAGGCTTCAATCCACGTTTTGGTGAAGGAGTGTCATTTCTGGATGTCCTTTTACGCAGTGGAGATAAATCAGAGTTTGAATTATTTATATTCGAACATTTCGGAGAGAGTGTAACCCAACCACTTCCATCCTCTGATATCGACTTTAAACCACGTTTGGCCCTTAGCAGCTCAAGCCTCCTCATTCTTTTAACCTCAATATCTTCATAAACTTGAGGCTTCTCTTCATCTACAAAGGATCAACATGGTTCATTTCGATTTGTTTTTTGATAAGAAAGAAGACTTCATAAATTAAATAGATTAAAGAGTGTACAACAGAGGACAAGGAATCCTCCAATAAAATAAAAGAAAAGAAAAATTGACGTTTCAACTACCAGCTGAATCAATCTTACACAACAGACCCTGTAATTTCAACTACATTTTGACCCAAAAAAAGAAACTGATAAATCATTACCTACCAGCTGAATCATTGTCGTTTTCTTCTTCAAGAACTACTGGTTTTTGCCAAACTGGATCTTCATCCACGACCAAAACACTCGTGGCATCTGGCTTAGCTTTCTGCCTCTTCTTCTTCTTCTTTTTCTTTTCCTCTTCGTTATTGGTCTCGTACCGTTTCAAATATTCCTTGAGGGACTTCGATCCAAAACTCTGAGCCGCCATTTTCACTTAATAGCAACAATTTTTCTGTTCAACGATCAAATAGGTCACACTTCAGAGAATAAATATCGCGCAAATACATACATACATAAAAATAGTCCCAAATAAGCAACCAAGGTTTTCGACGAGAAATTAAGAAGAAAACATTGACGTAATGTCATTTCAACTTTCTCATCTCTTTTTCATGTAAAACTTCCTATTCACTAATTAAGATAATCCTAAGTCCTATCCATATAGTCAGTTCCTACTCCACCATCTAAATTTAATGTACTTGAGAAATTCATTGGGGATTCAAAGCACAAGGATTTTTGGTTTTAAACTAATCAGAGACAAAACCAAAGTATTAAAGAGGGAAAGGAAGGTCTCTTTGAGTGAGTCAAGCTACCAAAAGCACGAAAAGGTAAACGACAATAACAACAATAACAACAATAATAAATTCATTCTACAAAATTACGAGTCCTCTTCTAAGTAAAACACCGACTCAAATCCAAAAAACACGGATTGAAATAAAACAAGAATCCTAATAAAACATGAAGCCTCCAATCCTATATGTTGTTCTACATACTATTTGAGAATTTTAAAATTAAAAACAGTTATAAAATAGCTGCTTAAACACCAGGTAGGACAAGGGAAACATTCATCGTACAAGCTGAAACGAAAAATCAAATTGATTAACCAAAAAAAACCAATGATATCAATTATCAAATATTTGATTAATAAAAACCTTTGCTGCCAAAAGGCAGGCATCTGTTTCAATGAAAGTGTATATAAAATGACGCATGTAAGACAACCTCCCATACTTTGTTTCTGACTAGAATAAAAAAGTAACCAAAAAAAAAAGATCTTCCACTGCAAAAATGAATTCCATAATCAAGTAAAAAAAGTACGTGCAGATTTTTAGAAGTTAGAACCATCACAAACCACACACAATGTCATTCCTAGAACACATGATAACATATAAAAATTGCCGTTTCTAGCAAACATGGAGAAAACAAAAAAGCTTCTTATAAAGAAGGAAGAATAAATAGTTCGCAACCATAGATAGCTATATGGAATGCGCAGAAAGCACAGCAATTAGCATGACTGTGAACCAACTATGAAATTGCCATAAGCTAGCTGAACCGTATACAATATGATGTAATAAATAAGAGCCCAAGTTTTTCCCTGCTTTGAACTAGATAGTATAGGACACTTGACCACGCAACATCACAATAAGTAAATAAAATTAAGGACCTATTATATAGGTAGTATCTGCCTGCTCCAGCCAAACAGTTTGTCGTTCTCAAGTTCTAATTCCCACAGCCTAGCTCAGCTTCTCTCTTCTCAGCCAAGTCTTTATCACATTCCAAGTTAATCCCCAGACAAATGCAGGACAATAAGCACCAAGGCTAATAAAAATCTTAAGGGGATAAAAAACAATAAATTCATAAAATTAAAGCTCTAAATCATAGCAAAACATAGGAGAAACTGGTAAACAATTAACCCAATAAATATGCGAGTTTTCTTTTTTTTTTTTAAATTTTGCAGCCCAAATAATTTGAAATATCTCTAAACTACTACAAAGCTGCATTTCTCCATACAAGTTGTGCAGATATCCAAATGAATCTATAAATTTTCAAATGTAAATTCCCAGTTGTAATGTTTTACCAAAGGTCCTGAATAATAGCAACAACATGTCATCCACTTCCGGTTTTACTTTATCTCCTGAGAGAAACACATGAACTCTCCCTGACAACAGTATCCAGCTACATCCAGGAACCTTTCTCATGCCTCTTAGTCTCATCTCCTTCCTCAACATTTCCTCTTCTACATGCTGATTGTTTGCTGCATAAATGTTACAAAGCACCACATTGGCAGGTGCATTTAGAGATTCCAGTTCAAATAGCCGTTGCGCTGCATGACTAGCAACCTCAGCATTTGTCTCGCCTAACCCACAAATTCCAAGCAATGCCCCCCAAACAGCTGGCCCTGGTTTAAAAGGTAGCCTGGAGACAAAATCGTATGCTTCCTTTACTTTCCCAGCTCTCCCTAAAAGATCGATCATACAGATGTGATGTTCTAAACTTGGCTGAATTGCATAAACATTGCTCATGGCATTGAAAAATTCCCACCCTCTACGTAAAAGTCCTGCATGGCTACAAGCAGATAGAATACCCAAAAAGGTCACTGAGTTTGGGAGCGTCCTGGATCGCACCATAGCTCCAAAGGTCACAAAAGCTCTGTTTGCAAGCCCGTGATTTGAAAACCCAATGATTATGGAATTCCACGAAACTACATCCTGAAAAACCATATTTGAGAATATGCTATAGGCAGCATTTATCTCTCCGCATTTAGCATACATAGAGATAAGTGAATTATCAATAATCAAATCGAACTTATATTGTGTTTTTAATGCCAGGCCATGAAACTGCCTTCCAGTATCAAGATATGCCATAGCACCCATGGCCCCAAGAAGAATACAATATGTTGAACCTAATGGCGAAACACCTTGGACCCTCATCTCCGAAAATATATTTGTCGCTTCTGTGAAAAGCTCATTGCGCGCAAGGCCTGAAATCATCGTAGTCCATGCTATTGCATCTTTGTCCGGCAGGTTCCAGAATAGATGACAAGCTTTAGACACTTCTCCGACACTGAAATACCCACCAATCATAGAAGTCCAGGAGACCTTATCTCGGATTGGTGCTTTCTCAAACAAAGTTTGAGCCCTATTTAATTGTCCAATCTGAATATAACCATTGATCAAATGGTTACAAGATTGAATGGAAAAGCTCTTTAAATTTTTGGTAAAAATAAATTCCGCAAAATCCATGTTACCAAATGCAGAATACATGTGAACAAGGCTCTTACCTAATCTGTCATCATAATCTTCCTTGTCCCAACCATTAATAATTAATTGAGCATGTAATTGCTTACCAAGAGAAGAGAAACTCGCACCAGCACATGCATAAGCAAGTGATATAAAAGTCTCTACATTTGGTTTCATGTTAGTGCTTGCTTTCCATTCAAGAAAAACCAACAGGGCTTCTTTATGGAAGCCATTCCAAGCAAACCCACCAATCATTGCCGTCCAAGAAACAACATTCCGTTCAGGCATTGCTCGAAACAAAGAATACCCCTCATCCACGTCGCCAGACCTACAATAACCAGATATCATGCTAGTCCAAGTAATGACATTCCTATCTTGCATCTCATCAAATAGAAGCCTTGCTTCTTCCATTCTACAGTTTTCTGTGTACCCTGCAATCATAGCATTCCAAGAAACTATATTTCGTGTTGGCATTTGGTCGAAAACTATCCTTGCTCCCTCTAAATCCCCATTCTTAATCAACTTGGAAACCATTGAATTCCAAGAAACTACACTCCTTTCAGGCATCACATCAAATAACCTCAAAGCCTCATCAATCCTCCCAACATCTGCCAATCCACAAAGCATCGACGTCCATGAAACGACATTCTTTTCCGGCATCTTCTCAAAAAATTGAAAAGCCTCGTATAACCTCCTAGACTGCACATACCCTGATAACATGGCATTATACGTAACAATGTTTCTCTCAGGCATGATATCAAATAAATTTCGAGCCTCATTAACCCAACCACATTTCGAGTATTTTGTGAGCAGTGAAGTCCAATGAACGACACAGCTATGACCATCTCTACCAGACAATTTGTCGAGCAACTTGCGGGCATCATGAAGTCTGTTTTGACTTAGGCACTCAAAAAGCTGTGACTGGTCAAAAGTAAGCCTAAAAGAAACCTGGGTTGCATAACAACTGAGGCTGAAACTACAGCATTTAAGTTTGTGGTTGGTTCGTGCGAAATTGAAAGAACAGATTCTGGGGATAGAGACGCGCATCAACTGTTTTTCAAGAAAGTGTTGTACTGATCCTAAACTGGAAGCTGCCATTTTTCACTCAATAGCAACAAACACTCTGTTTTTTTTTTTCTTTCTTTTGAGAAGAAAGAAAGTATCAAAAGATACAATCCATGGTGGAAAGAAATCCAACCAAATGTCTTTTTCTATCCAAAGAGCAAGTAAGAATAAATCATGTGATGTTAAGAAAACAACACATAAGATTTATTTAACTGCCTGGAAGAAGAATAAAGACATAAAGATTATAAGATCAAAGAGGCTGTCGAAGATACCATTTCGAACCTACAAAGTATATAAATATATGAAAAAGTATAAAAATACTAGATTATTGAAATTTTAAGAAAACAAGAGGGATGAATTTATCTTATATTGAGATAGGATTGCAATGACTTCAGAATATGAGTTAAGCAAAGATGTTAATAAGGATATCAGGATTTACATTCAACCAAAGTTGAATGCTAAACCTCAGTTAAATTACCAGCATATGTAGAGGATTGCAATATTCAATTGATTTTGATTTTTTTATTTACTTTATTTATATTTATATTTATATTTATTTATGTAAGAGGTAGTAAAGAAGGACTTCCTTACTAGCCTCTTTTTAATACATAGCAAAGTAAAACACTTTTAAGGAATCAAAACCACTAAAAACCAGTAGTAAAAATAAGACTAGTTGTGATAAGATATAAGGGCAGTTATTGACTTTTGAAATATAAATGTAACCGATGAAATGTAGTTATCCTAATACGGGAGAAATTTTGAAAATGTTTTGAGAATGAAACGGAGGGAAATTTTTTTAATAATTATTCAAAGGTAATTGTCTATATTAGCAAACATCTGCCATCAGGATAATAGTAATAAGATTTAACATTAAAAAGAGATTAAAATATATCTTTTAGTGAATTATGAAGATGAGAAAGAGTGACTTATGAGGAAAAATTTTTATTTTTAAGGACTTATGAGGAAAGTTAGGTAATGTAGCATTTAGAAAATCATTAGCTTTTATTTTATTTAATGCTAAGAACTAAATATAATGATGATAAAAACATACAGATAGACAACAACATGTGTAGCAGAATGGAGTCAATTGGAAAAATCAATTAGATAAAGGAACAAGCATAAAACCTTAGCATAATGACACAAGTGCAGAAAGCCAGAAACTAACTGAAGAAAAACCTAGATAAACAAGGATAAACTCAAAGATATTTCAAGAAAAAAAAAATGCTATATAGTGGAAATACATATGGATTACAGAAGAAGTTCCAATCAAATCTAGTTACCAAACAAAGAAAGAGGAAAATAATCCTAATCTATACAAATCATCAAAAACCATTCACGCAGTACTTAATACAAACACTTGATCTATATCATATTCAGGTCAGTATCAATACTACTATACTATTATAGTATAGACGTAAATTAGTCAGGAAAACATAAAAGAAATTGTAGAACTCACTACTTTCTAAAGTAACGGGAAGATAATCAATACAACATACTAAAACAATCAAATTATGCAAAGTAGTACCCTACTCTAATTGAATTACCCAAAGAAAAAGCAAATTTACACAAACAAACTTCTGAATGTCAAAAACAAATTCTTAAAATAAAGCAAAATATGAACAAGTAATGATAAGAAATACTTGTAAATCCATGAGATGAGACCCAAACCGAGAGGATCCAATTAGTGATTAAAGGCAATGCTGCAATAGAACCGTACAGAATCACTTCCAATCAAGGGAGATCGGAGATATCACTCAGCAACAAACAAGAGTTGAACACAACTTTCAAGATAAAGTAACGAATTGAAAGGTAAAGTAGCATATATATTTTCCATAGGCAGGCAGAAGAGAGGACAAAATTGATTAGACAGACAGAAAAACCACCACAAAGGTTATAAGAAAACGGTTACAAAGGATTCATATATGGAAGAAGAGAGAGAGAGAGAGAGACCTTTTAAAACTCAGGAACGCAGGGACCAGAATGAGAGCAATCGAAGGTGACGTTACTTCCCCGAGGGTTTCTTTGAAACTCAGCAGAACTCTACCCTCAATTCCTCCGATTTCATTTGTGCGAATTAGGGCGGGAACGGAAAGTATTATTCCGAGATCAAAGAACTTTACCAGATTCTTAGACGAGAGCAGGGAAATCAAAGAAGAAGATTTGCTGCTGCTGTAAATGTAATGGGAACCTTTGTTGTTGTGTTTCTGAGTTTGGCTGCAAATGTAATGGGAACAAAATCAGAATATGTAACAGTACCGGAGACGAGGCGGGGCGGCGGCGCGGGATGGCAACGGAGCTGCGGCGTGGCGAGGCGAGGCGACAACAAACGCTTGCGTTTGGGAGTTAAGGGTTAAGGGTGCGAATGATGAATCTGAATATTGTGGCTGAATGGGGGAACTTTCTCGGCTAGCATGTTATTTTTTTTATTTTTTTATTAATTTACCTCTTCTTCGATAGTTTCAGTGGGGCTAAAACGTGTCGTTTAAGGTTATTATAGTTCTCAGTTATGTCGTTTATAGGTTGTTTTTAAAAATAAAATAAAAAATTGTGTTGGAGGATTCAAACTATGTGATTCGAACCATTTTCGATTTATGTGTATTTTTTATGAGAGAAAATACTGTAACGAACCACGAATCATGATTCGAATCAGGAAACGAATCCCTCTACCAAACACCGTATAAAATGATGTATTCGTTGGCCCTTCAAAAAGTAAATATGATGTATTTCTTCCAAAAAAAAAATCCAGAGTTAAAAGATACATTTCCCATCGGTTCATTGTAAAAATTTCATATTAGATTATTCATCAAAGGGTTTTATATATCAAACGCACACAAAGGCTTCAAATGGTAATCACCACACTGGCAGCTACTCATATA